AAAAAAAAACAGAACTTTGTTTGTGCATATATAGACAAACACAAAATATTTGTTTTTGCCCAGCTGCTATTCTAAGATAGAAAGATTTACCTGACTTGTGTAGACGAAGTACTGGCCCTGGCATTCATGAGCATATTTCTTTGTTTTATCAGTACAGTAAAAAAATTTACCATTAAATAACTGTACCGCAATCACACCGAAGATAAATTGAAATAAAAAATATACTATTAATATGTTGAATACGTTTTTCAATGAGTTGACAACGCAATCGAAAACTGCCTAAATTATAGCGAATTTGTCAGGTAAATCTAAAACACTCGTTTATACCAATAAAAAATAAAATTACCTTGAGTTTTGGAATACGCTTGATTGTCTTTAGGGGTCTAAGAACGCGAAGCACTCGAAGAGATTTTATTGTATTTAGGTTTTTACCTGCTGCTCCCTCTGCTCCAGAAAACCTAAATTTATGTAACCTTTACATGTGATAAACTAAAGAATTATGTTACTCTTAAACAAGATTTGGTTTAGCCTCTAACGTACTGGATGAAAAAACTTACGCGAAAGAAAATGCCAGCAAAGCAAACACTACTACGACCCCATCAAGCACGTTCCAGAAATCTCGGCAGTAAGACCCGGGATGTAATATTACTCCTTGATCGATCAACTAAAATTGTAAAGTTTATTAGTGGTGAGAACGAAATATCTGAGAAAATGCATCTAAAAAACGAGCGTTTTAAGAGCGTTTTTGAGATAAGTCGATGTTTTATTAGCATAAGCTGATAAAATAAGGCTTTAACGAAAATCTGAGCAGGAAAAATGCAATAATAACATATGCTATGCTACACATTAGCAAATGAGTTTAAAGTTGCCTTTAAAGTCATTTCTAGCGCAAATACTCCAGTAAAGAGATAGTCAAAATACTGTAGGATACTATTACGATAGTTATTCTCATCAACAGGATCTTCCGCAGATAATGCCATACTGGAGAACAGGATAACAACCATAACAGTAATCTCAAAATACTTAATGTTCACTATCCAATGCGCAAATCTTCTAATCCTGAAACAACTTTTTAATGTTACTCATTTAAAAGCTGGTTGGTTAATGAAATAAATAAACTTGGAAATCAACAGAATCTGGTTATAGAAAATATACAGTTTTTTCACCTCCTCCTTCTGCAAGTACTCTAAAAAAGTCACATTGTTCAAAGTTCCCTAAATATTGTTTTAAAAGTTATATACTGTAATATCTGAAAACAAATATACATTATCATTGCATTCATTAACCAAATGTATATCATTTGTTCTATAAAAAGTTTTTTAAATCAATAAGAATAAAGTAAACACTTTTTAGCAATAGCTGTACAATCTCGAAAAATACAACAATTTGAAGACCATAAACTTTATAAATACTTGTAAGACTGAACGTACAGATCATGCTTACTGTAAACTGTAATTTCAAAAAAGTAATAAACTCACGGATTTGTTGGCGAGAAAACGAACATTGATGAGAATGGAACCATAGGTTTTCGACCACCAAAAGGGCTTTCTTCTTCCTCCTCACACTCTTCTATGTCTGAAAACCAGTCTCAAACTCAGTTACTGTTTATAAGTGTTAATCGTTACAGTTTTATTAATTTGATTGCCTGAAAATGATTTTTCCAGTATCTTTTCTAACGCATGTATTTTCATGCACAGTTTTGTAACCTTACCATCCATATCTCGTTGCAGTTGGCAAAGATCAGCAGCTGTTTTATTCTCTGTATCAAGAGAACTGCGTTTGCTGTCCTGAAACAACATAACATTTATCAAATTGTAGTTGTTTGGACCTATCCTGTCTACTAATTTTATTCCCCTTGTGTAAGCGTCTTAAAACGAACAGCATCTTGAATCAAAAAAACGTGAACTGACCAACGGCATTTTAAGCTCATCATTCATTGATTCTGAGTCTTGTGACATTTCATATGCTCGTTCTTCAGCCTCATCAGCTGCTGTTAATTCTTGCGCATTTGCTAAGTTATCGACGGCGATAGCCAAGAAGACGTTTAGCAGGGTGTCTAAAAAAATCAGTCTATTTTTCTTATTGAATTAAAAATTGCTAAATTTTTCGCCAAACTATCTGACCAGTACTCACTAAAATTAAACCATTAATTAAAATTCTAGCTAAAAGAAAAGGTAGTGAAAAGTATTGTCACTGAACGCTTTAAACATTGTCAGTAGGAAACTGTGGAATAAAACTTTCTGAAGAAAAATGAAGAACTTACAATTGCCAAAAAGCATGAGAACAATAAAATAAATGCAGTATGGAAATCCGCCCTTGTAAATGCCTCCTTGAGATTCAATAGCATAATACATTACTTCATTCCAATCTTCACCGGTTAATATCTGAAAAAAAAAGCCAAGTACTATGCCAAGAGTTTTGTCAAGCTACAGATGTTTTTTTTTTGCGTTTTTTTTTTCAAACAAATTTTTCCAAATAAACTACAATTTTTCAAATGACCAAAAAGTTATATCATTTTATAAAAAAAATAAAAATCAGCTCATATTTATCGTTAAAACGCAGCAAGCATATTGCTTA